CTGAGTTGCCACTCATTTAGCAGACGTTCGTCTAGCAGAGCCATCTTAGCTTTTCAGTCCAACACGGACAAGTCCTGTCCGTGATGCCAGTCGCTCTCATCCAGGGGAACATCCTTCCTCAGTTTGAACTTTACTGCAATCCTGTGAGCGTCCAGATCCATTGGAGGAGCACCAGCAAGCACCTGCAGTGCTACCGTGGACACTGTGCGGCATACCGGTAGGCATCCTAAAAGGATGGACCTCTGGCACGAGGTGAGGAGTTTAAGGGGCTTGCCCCTACTCGCCGCCTTGTACCAGACCGAGGCACCAAAGAGTGCACAGGGGACCATGAGTCCGCTGTAGATCGTCCTCTTAGCACGGGAGCTGAGCCCCCAATCGACTCGGAGCACCCGCCCTCCGGCAACTCCAGCTAGCCGATCTCTAAGAGCTAAGATATGCTGGAGAAAACTCAACCGCTCGCCGACTAAGATGCCAGGGTACCGGCATTTGGTGACGTAAGGCAGACTTGCTCCAGCAAACCGTACCGTCGGTCTCCTTGTGCGTGAAAGCTGCCCTTTCAGCAACATTTTTGCCGTCTTGCTGGTTGACACACTCACTCCAACCTCTAATAAAAATCGGACGACTCTAACATATAGCTGTCAAAGAAACGGTCAGAGAAATAATGAAATATTTATTATACCCTTGCAGAGGGTATTATGATTTCAGTCAGAAGTTTGCAACGCAGTGAAGGAGACGTTTTCGACCCCATAAAGTATATATATATCAGCATCACTAGACGAGTCGATCTAGCCATGTCCGTCTGTCCGTGCGTTTCTACGCAAACTAGTCTCTCAGTTTTAAAACTATCGGGCTGAAACTTTTCCAAAAGTCTTCTATCTTTTGCAGGTAGTATATATGTCGGAACCAGCCGGATCGGACAACTATATCTTTTAGCTCCCATAGGAATAATCGGAAAAAAAATTTTAAAATGTATTTTTTTTGGTGTTTTTTAACATATAACCTCCTAAGCTTGGAAATAAGATTTTTTAATTAGTTTTGAATTTTGAATTAAATTTTATCAAAATCGGTCGACTATATCATATAGCTGCCATAGGAACGATCGGAAAATTGGCGGGAAAATAATATGAAACAAATTATAGCTTCGGTGTTTTTATACCCGTTACTCGTAGAGTTAAAGGATATACTAGATTCGTCGGAAAGTATGTAACAGGCAGAAGGAAGCGTTTCCGACCCCATAAAGTATATATATTCTTGATCAGGATCACTAGCCGAGTCGATCTAGCCATGTCCGTCTGTCTGTCTGTCCGTCTGTCCGTCTGTCCGGATGAACGCTGAGATCTCGGAAACTATGAGAGCTAGGCTATTGAGATTTGGCGTGCAGATTCCTGAGCTTCTTACGCAGCGCAAGTTTATTTAAGTAGACTGCCACGCCCACAACCGCCCAAAATGGTGGCTCCTACAGTTTTGATGGTAGATAGAAAATTTTAACTGAAATGTATTAGTCTTGTCAATACCTATCGATTGACCCAAAAAAAATTTTGCTACGCCCACTCTAACGCCCACAAACCTCCCAAGAAAAAAGCTATGACGTCAGAGCCAGACAATGCGAAATGTTTTTACGCGTGTATGTGTGTGTATGTAAATAGTTGCCGGCCGAACTTAGCGGCAAAGAAAAAAGCATTGCCGGCGCTCAGAGAGAGCAAAGTGCGCGGCTAACTTATTCTATTGAACAATGAATTTTTCACGCCTACCCTAACGCCCACAACGCTTAAATCTGTCTTCCGCCGGTAGGTGGCGCATTTAAATCTCGCTTTGCTGCTTGCATATCTCCATTTCCCTTTGGTCCCTTAAGCTGAGTAACGGGTATCTGATAGTCGAGGTACTCGACTATAGCGTTCTCCCTTGTTTTACATATAACCTTCTACGTTTGAAAATAACATTTTTTAATTAGTTCTGAATTTCGAATTTACTTTTTCAAAATCGGACGACTATATAATATAGCTGCCATAGGAACGATCGGAAAATTGGTTGGAAAATAATATGAAACAAATTATAGCTTCCGTGTTTTTTAACATATAACTTCCTACGCTTGGAAATAAAATTTCTTAATTAGTTCTGAACTTCGTATTTAATTTTATTAAAATCGGACGACTATATCATATAGCTGCCATAGGAACGATCGGAAAATTGGTGGGAAAATAATATGAAACAAATTATAGCTTCCGTGTTTTTTAACATATAACCTCCTACGCTTGGAAATAACATTTTTTAATTAGTTTTGAATTTTGAATTAAATTTTATCAAAATCGGTCGACTATATCATATAGCTGCCATAGGAACGATCGGAAAATTGGCGGGAAAATAATATGAAACAAATTATAGCTTCGGTGTTTTTTTACATATAACGTTCTACGTTTTAAAATAACATTTTTTAATTAGTTCTGAATTTCGAATATATTTTTTCAAAATCGGACGACTATATAATATAGCTGCCATAGGAACGATCGGAAAATTGGTTGGAAAATAATATGAAACAAATTATAGCTTCGGTGATTTCTGACATATATGTATACTATTGGGAATATCATTTTTTGTATTTTTAAATTTAATAAATACAACTGCAGGGGTATACAAGCTTCGGCTTGCCGAAGTTAACTTCCTTTCTTGTTTCGTTTGCGTACCGTTTGCTTGTCCAATGCTTGCTTCTATTACAGTAGCGGGAAAAAATATAGCATCGAGGTTACGTAAAGTAAACATATTACAATATGTTCACGTCAAAAGGGCGTTTAATTTCAGGAGGTATTTCCGCTCTCCCTCTCCATCTCTCCCCTAAGTCACCGCTCTGCTCTGGAGCGCTTAAGTTAAGTTAGGCTTAAGCAGTTCTTATTTCCAAGTGTACAAATAAACATCTGTGCACGTCGCGTAAAAACCCCAAAGTACCCCCGTGTTTTTTTGCGTACCATTCGATCTTGGGGCTTTAACTATTTCCAACGATCAAGCCACCCCGCCCCAACACAATATATTACAGCAAACATTACAATATTGTACATCTAAAATAGGGTTTCCTTTTTTATTCCATAAACCAAAAGAAAAAATTAAAATTATTTACCAGGAATTTGTTGTTGTTTATGTAATTAATTAATTAATTTTATTTTATTTTAAGAAACTGGAGGTGCTAATATTTCTTGCCAGTAATATATGTGTACAGAAAACATACAATCGGTTTTACCCAAAAAAACGATTGAAAAAAATCGACCAACGGGTTTAATTTTTGTTTTTTACATTCCCAGCAAAATAAACCTGGATACATCATATTAAAGCACACCCGTGCCGTTATGTGTAAAAAATGCGGACGGACGGGGAAACTTTAAAAACCATTCATATGTATGTAGAAAGCAAACACTCACATATGTATGTACATTCCATACGTATGTAAATTGTTCATACATAAAAAAAAAGCTATAAAAGTGTATTATATTTTAAGGCTTTAAGTACTAAGTAATTTATACTTACCGTTAAGGTATATCTTAACTAACGTCAGTACTCTCTCTGTGTGCAATCGGGTATTTTTTAACGTGCTTACTGGCTTACTTTTTCCCCATTTAAAGTTGTTTGTGTTCAGTTTTACATTGATGGCATTGAATTAAAATGTTGGCAGAAAGGTAAAAATCATAAATTTTACATCTTAACGGGAATTTAAAGATTGAACAAAATTAATGATTTGGAGTACATTTTTTTTTTTTTGATATAAGCGTGTGATTTTTTTCACTTCAAAAAAAATGTTAATTTTTGAATGAAACTTAACTTATTTTTACTCTAAACTCACAATAATTATTTTAAAGATTTTTAATTTTATTTGTTCAAAATAATAAAAATTTTAAGGGAGCCTTTGTTAGTTTTTTAATAATTGTGTTCTACTTTTTGTACCCGTTACTCGTAGAGTACAAAGGTATACTAGATTCGTCGGAAAGTATGTAACAGGTAGAAATAAGCGTTTCCGACACCATAAAGTATCAAGTATATTCTTGATCAGGATCACTAGCCTAGACGATCTAGCCATGTCCGTCTGTCTGTCCGTCCGGAAGAACGCTGAGATCTCGGAAACTATAAGAGCTAGGCTATTGGGATTTGGCATGCAGATTCCTGAGCTTACGCAGCGCAAGTTTGTTTCAGTTGCGTGCCGCGCCCACTCTAACGCCCACAAGGCGCCCAAAACTGTGGCTCATACAGTTTCGATGCTAGAATAAAAATTTTACCTGAAATTTTAACTGAAATGTATTGGTCTCGTCAAAACCTATCGATTGATCCAAAAAAAATTTCTAACGCCTACAAACCTCCTAAAACTGTGGCACCAATAGTTTTAAGGTAGCTGGCTCATCACAATCTCCCTTTGCTGCTTACATATCTCAATCTTCCTTTGGTCCTTTTAGCTGAGTAACGGGTATCTGATAGTCGAGGCACTCGACTATAGCGTTTTCTCTTGGTTTTGGTATTAGCATTACTGTTTTCAAAATAAAGAATTGATTTTTCATTGGCATTAGATTTTCAAAAAGTAATCAATTTATTTTTCATCAGCTTTAAAATTATTTAAAAAGTAATGATAATTTTTAAGGATACAATACTTATTGAATACACTTTCTAAAATTTATTCATTCGTCTCAACACAATAGAAATTGACAAAACCCGCTAGTCTAGCGAGTTCCGACATTCTGTTGTTCTGTTCTGTTCTGATGCCACCAGAAGTACGCACTCTTTGAGCACTGCTGGGATATTAGATCCATGCTTTCCTCGTCGATATACAGTTCTATCATCTCATTCGGACAGAGGTCCGCCACGAGATCGGGATCGCAGGGATCCACAGGGTTGCGATAAACGACACTCTATCGTCAATCGCAACCCTGTGGATCCTTGCGATCCTGATCTCGTGACGGACCTCTGTCCGAACGAGATGATCGAACTCTATATCGACGAAGACAGCAGAGATCTAATATCCCAGTAGTGCTCAAAGATTGTGAACTTTTGGTGGCATCTGAAGGTCGGATACACCAGAGAATCTCGTAATGAATCTTATTTCGGGTCCAGGTATGCAGAACATAGTGACCGTAAACGCATGCCCTTGGAGGTCTCAACGCAAGAAATTTGTAACGGCGCAAATGGTCACTCGCCCAAAGCACCACTCGAGGATCAACAACGGACAGGAGTCCCTCTGCAGCAACGGCAACAGCAACAACCAATTCAATCGCCCAAGGAATCCATCGACAGATCCAACTCGCAGAACCAGGCGATCACCCACGATGGGCTCACGGACTTGGAGGCCAGTCCGCAGGCTTGGCAGATTTTCTGGCAGGACCTGCGCATCAATGCATCGGTAGCCCCGCAGAGCCAGGAGGGTCCTGTAGGACACGGAAAATGTAATTTTATTTTGGTGTAAAAGAACTAGAACATTTTATGTTTTTACACAGCTAGTACATGAAAATATGAATATCTATCTTTGATAGTTTACGAGATATCGGCGTTCATATTTACGATTTATTGAAGTTTGTGGCCGTTGAAATGGGCGTGGTCAACTTTTTTTCAATCGATAGCTATTGATGAGAACAATACATATAAGTTAAAATTTTTATTCTAGCATCAAAACTGTATGAGCCAGTTTTGGGCGGTTTGTGGGCGTAAGAGTGGGCGTGGTACCTTACTGAAACAAACTTTCGCTGCGCAAGAAGCTTAGGAGTCTGCATGCCAAATCCCAATAGCCTAGCTCTTATAGTTTCCGAGATCACCGCGTTCATACGGACGGACAGACATACGGACAGACGGATATGGCTAGATCGACTCGGCTAGTGATCCTGGTCAAGAATATATACATATATGCTTTATGGGGGGAAACGCTTCCTTCTGCCTGTTACATACTTTCCGACGAATCTAGTATACCGCTTTAATCTACGAGTAACGGATATAATTAAGAGCAAAAAATATTAAAACAATTTTGCCTCGTTCTTTTTGATCATGTTCTTTTATATTCTGGGGTGTATCAATATTTTTGATTTCAGAATTACGGTTTTTTTTTGTAAAAATCAAACGGCTGTATTATATAGCTGTTAAAGTAACTATCAGTATATTTAAATATATAAACAAATCTTTTGAATATACGGTTTCTGTAATACTTGTATACGTATAATTAAAGTAGCATGATATGGTTTAAGCTGCAAGGGTATATAGGGTATGTAAACTTTGGGTTTCCGAAGCTATCTCTTTTTCTTGCTTTTTTTATCAAAATAATTATTATTATATGATATAGTCGTCCGATTTTGTTAAAATTTGGTGTTTTTTAACATATAACCTCCTACGCTTGGAAATAACATTTTTTTAATTAGTTCTGAATTTCAGATTTAATTAGATCAAAATCGGACGACTATATCTTATAGCTGCCATAGAAACGATTGGAAAATTGTTGGGAAAATAAAATGAAACAAATTATAGCTTTGGTGTTTTTTGACATATTATCATCTACGATTGAAAATATTTTTTTTTGTATTTTTAAGAATTTTAAATTAAATTTAATAATTATAGCTGCAAGGGTATACAAACTTCGGCCTGCCAAAATTAACTTCCTTTCTTGTTTTAAATTTTTTTCCGATTATTTCTATGGGAGCTATAAGATATAGTTGTCCGATCCGGCTGTTTCCGACTTATATACTACCTGCAAAAGAAAGAAGACTTTTGGGAAAGTTTCAGCCCGATAGCTTTAAAACTGAGAGACTGGTTTGCGTAGAAACGGACGGACAGACGGACATGGCTAGATCGACTCGTCTAGTCATGCTGATCAAGAATATATATACTTTATGGGGTCGGAAACGTCTCCTTTACTGCGTTGCAAACTTCTGACTGAAATCAATATACCCTCTGCCAGTGTATAAATATAAATTTTACAATCATGGCGGGAATTCATAGATTGGGCGTACTGAATTATTTTGGAATTTATCATTTGTTTCTAGGGTTATTATAAGTGTGCGATTTTTACGTTAAAAAAATTTAATGTAATTGTTATTTTTGGTCTCTGTTTTTGTCAAAAACAGTCAATTGAAAATAATGAATGTTCGATTTATTTACAAGTTATTATTTGTTATTCTAGCAAATATCTCCATACACAAGGGAATGATGGAATTCGGATAACTGCAACCGAGAACCACGTAAACAAATCAAATTAGGACATTTTCACCGAGTACTTCATTTAGCGGTTATAAGCCTCGTTAATGATCATGAATCGAAGAGATATTTATAGAGTTCGTAAATGAAAGCATACTTCCGAACAAAGCAACTCTGATATATACCACCCAAACCAAACTGTTCTCAGCGAATCAGTAAGGACCAAGAGGAGGAGGAGGAGGAGGAGGACGACGACGAGGAAAAGGCCGACGGGCCAGAGAGGGCAGCAAAACAGCCGCCACTTTAGCGGGCACAGCGGTCATGGAACCACCCGGCGGAGTGCCGCCGGATAGGGATAGGCAGCTGGTGCTCCGGAATCAGTCAGCTGCCCTGGTGCCCGTGATCGTTTCTGCACCACCCTCTGGACCGGGAGCAACCACGCCCAACCCGCAACCACCGGCACAGTCACAGGCGTCGCCGCTGCCCAGCAAGCCAACCAGTCTGAGTCTTCAGCCGCATGCCGTGCTCCAGGCCATGCAACAGTTGTCCCCATCGGCCGGAGCGCAGTTGCCACGGCCACGAGCAGCAGCAGCGGGAACGCCAATAGCGGCAGCAGTCCCGCCCTGGCCTCCACCGCAACGGCCATATCGGCGACAACCCAGGCAGCCACTGCCTTTAGCGGCAGCTCGGTGGGTCACCACAGCACCATCACCAGCATCCGCATGCCCCACAGCAGCAGCAGCAGCAACCGCATCCGACCAATGCACCGAGTACAGCGCCACAAGCCCACCACCACGGCTCCATATCCATCACTGGGTCGAGCGGTGGACTCATTGGTTCCAGTGGCGGTTCCAGTGGCGTTCCAGCAGCAGGCCATCGAGAAGCTATCGCGACCCATGGCCTTCGATAAGGTGGGTCAACTGAGTTCCCAAGTCCTGGCCAACATTTCGAATTTTTGTATTTCTTAGATGGAAATGCTGGTGCGTGAGATGCAGGACCAGGAACACGGTGTGCCCGTGCGGCAGCAGAAAATGTTCCTCACATCCATACCATATGCGTTTATGGGTACGTTGTCAGTTATTCCTAGCTTATTAACATTGTATATGTATGTGTCCTTTTCAACTTATTGCCTAACAATATTTGCCTTGCTTGTAGGATACGATCTGATTGAATGGCTGATGGACCGCCTGCAAATCGAGGAGTCGGAGGCCCTGAACATCGCTAATCAACTGTGTCTGCACGGCTACTTCTTTCCGGTCAACGACTCAAAGACGCTGACCGTGAAGGACGATTCCTCGCTGTATCGGTTCCAGACACCCTACTATTGGCCCTGGCAGCACAAGGCGCCGGATAATGTGGAGTATGCCATATATTTGGCCAAACGATCGCTGCGCAACAAGCAGCGGCACGCACTGGAGGACTACGAGGCCGAGGCACTGGCCTCGCTGCACAAGAACCTGAAGGGCAAGTGGGACTTCATCTCGATGCAGGCCGAGGAGCAGGTGCGCCTGGCGAAGGAGCGCAAGAAGGGTGACAAGATCGTGGGAGACTCGCAGGAACGAGCTTACTGGAGAGTTCACCGTCCACCACCTGGCCAGTTCACTCCCTTGGAGCCCTGTCCAGTGCCTTCGCGCGATCGTCAGGGCCTCAAGCCCAATAAAAAAAAGACTGTCGATGACATGCAGCAATCGGACGCGGATGAAGATGTCGCAGGCCTGCGAGTCGCTCGTCTGCTACTCGGAGACCTTCTCCGAATACGATTTCTTTCTGCAGCCGGCACTGCTTTCCAATCCGTGGGTGACCGAGGATATTGCCTTTTGGCAGCTGAACAACACCTTTGTGGACATTCCCACAGAGAAGCGGGTCAAGCGCTGGGCCATTTCCATCGAGGAGCTCGTCTCCGATCCCACAGGCCTGCAGGAGTTCACCGGCTTCCTGGAGAAGGAGTACTCGCACGAAAACATCCGCTTCTGGATAGCGGTCAATCGATTGCGCCGCTCCGCTCACTCCCAGGTGGCACGAAAGGTCAACGAAATTTACGAGTGAGTAACCGCTGTAAATTTGGTTGTTAGATCTATACATCTAAATACATATCTTTTCAGAGAGTTTTTAAAGCCTGGAGCACCGTGCGAGATAAACATTGACGGCAAGACCATGGAGAGCGTGCTCCGGGGCCTGAAAAACCCATCGCGGTTCACCTTCGACTCGGCCTCGGAGCACATTTACATGCTGCTGCTGAAGAAGGACTGCTACCCACGATTTATTCGATCCGAGCACTACAAACGCCTGCTGGACACCGGCATTCAGCCGTCGTACAAGAAGCGGTTTTTTAACTTTGGCGGCGTTAGCGGAGCCAAGGAGAAAATGACAGCCGCCCTGAGCAGCCAGCCAAACCTGGGGATGCGGCCAAAGGATCTGGTGGCACTGGCGGCGGCAGCTGCTCCATGATGCAGGCACCACCGCCCGGTAACCTGGCCAGGCGCCGTGGCAGCGATCGCAGTCTCACGGGTTCCGCCCACGAACTGGCCGTTCACCCGAGGTGAACAAGGATTCGGGTTCCAAGGTACCGCACTCTCATTCCCAGAGTAATCTCAGCGAAATTCCCTTCAGGTAAGAAAAGACCTTTGCCGAGAGAGGTGTTGAGTAAGTCGGTTTAATATGATTGATTCTATTGAACGAGCTAATTTTTCTGATTTTTCGCAATGTTTGATTTGCCTGAAAGAGCCAAGCTAAAAACATCGTTATTATTTTTGGCAACAGAGCCTTTGGTTTGGTCAGCATATACATATACTATACAAACTTTTTCACAATGCGCACGAGACCCTAGAGCGAAAACAAACATCTTGAAAAAACTTGAACCCAGTTGAACAATCGATACTATAACAATTGATTATATCATATATATGTCATACGTCACACACGCACTGCAGTAGCGATTCAATTTATCGAGGCGATATGCCACAGCGCCACATGGCGGTCATGGATATTGGGATCTATGCGGCCTACGGGAATCGCGAAAGTAGTTTGCAGGCACTTCCGTAAGACATGTTTATTCATTGGTTTTGCGACACGCTTACCACTTGTACTAAATAAAAAACTTTCCAATCCTAAAACGTAATGCTAGTGTTCTTTCTATTTTTTTTGTGTTTATCGTTCGATCTGTGCCCTAGACCCAACCTTCCAACACCTACGTTTTTCCTTCTGTTTCTATCGCCTTGTCGCCTTTTCTACCCATTTTTGAAGACGGGTTTTTAGTAAGGGTTTTAAGAAGGATGCTAAACGTTGCTCTATGAGACCTTTAATTTGTTTAAAGTGACCAGAAAGTCCCAGCTTTGGTAAAGAATTCATGAAAATATCTCCTTAGTTAAACCAAATGTAAAGCATAAACTGCTGTAGTAAAAAAAAATTAATTTCAGTTATAAATAGTTATGTTAAAATGACAATATGTCTTCCAATTGCGGAGGAATGGGCGACATAAAAATCTTTTGTGTATTTACTTGTCTAACTACACCACAAAACCTTCATTATAACCGGTACTCCACACTATCTTTAATTTGTATAAATTCATTTTATAGGTACTACCAAAAATATCTCTTGCTTTGGTGTCTCAAATTTGTCTTTCAAATTGTACACTTGAAAGCTTACCGCGAATTCTTCAGCTGGTCAGACGGCACACTTTTTAGTCGAGAATATCACTTCAAAGTGGTTATCTAAGCTCTCTATTCAAAATCAAAAAACACTAACATTTAACCGCTATTTATTTGTGATACAACTGATGTCGTTGAACAATATACTATAACGAGATTGAGAGAGTTGTCCGCCAAAGATACAAAAAAATGTATTCGCGAATTCTTGAGCTTCAACGGGTCTTTTTGCTTAACGTCACCACAGACTCAACCCAACTTTCTAGTATGTATGAAATGAAATCGTATTGATAAGTCCAAAACGGCTTCCATTTAAGTCGACTTCGCCAATAACTATTCTTGCCAAGTTACAGCTTCTTTGTTGTAAATGGGGTACCGGGTATCTGAAAGTCGGGGTCCTCGACTTTGGCATTACCACTTGCTGTCCTGTCATCTGTCAGGCGAACTTCTAGTTGCCCTCGGATTCTATATGTAAATCACCACCGGTCCTGTTCGCCTCGCCTCTTTTTCTTGACTTTATTATCAACTGTCTCCGAATATAGTTTCAATCGTTGCTATGCTCGAATGTTTGCTGTTGTTATATTGTGTGTGTTCTGTAACTATTTCGACAAAAAATAAATGGCCGATTTGACTTTTCGTTTTCGGATGCTTCTCCCATGAGCCTCTTACCCCTTTTCTGTTACCAATTGTACATATGCATATATGTAAGTCTACGTGTTAAACACCAGCATTCCTTTCAACCACCGTCTAAATCAGTGGTCGGCACACACATATCATCACAAGTTTGCCTTGCATTAGTGTGAGTGTAACAAACACGAAGTTTGCGCGCGGCGTGCTGTAGCGAGACGTTTCTCTGCTATGCACTGAGATCCTCTGCCACAGCAACAAAAAAGCGCGCCGAAGTTGAGAAAAAATGACCCGAAGACCCATGCCGAAGTCACACGAACATGTACGTTATACGTGAGCGAGCAGAGGATGGGCAGAACTCTTCCCTATGCTCACTAGATAGGCCGCTGCCGAACACTGGTCTAAATGTATAGAAACTGAGTTATTTGGAAACCACCATAATGCCTGTTTGTATGCATATGTATTGCCCCGCAGAGAAACGCCAAGGACGAAGACCACCGCCCTTGAGACAACGGAGTCCACGTCGTCGTCCACAGCTCTGGTTGTGGCGGCCAGCAGTGCCGTCTGTCCTTGGGACGAACCAGCCGAACCAGTCCCGCCGCCGCCAGCGCAGTTAAAGCTATCCGTGTGTCCCTGGGAACAGGATAGTGCCACAGAGCCGCCGGCTCCCACTCCGGCCACAGGAGGAGGAGGACCGTCGAAGATCTCAAGTTCCAACGGGCAGCCACTGCGGGTGAACAGGTAGGTGCTTACCAACAGCTTTACCTCCGGTATCACCAGCAACTAACTACATTTGCTACAATTTAAGCACAGCACTTCCTCGGACAACAGCGATGTGAATGACCGAATGCAGCGTAATTTGGGCATTCGCCATCAGAACACCGTGGACAGTGGTGAGGCAGGCATCAAGCGTCTGGTTCCCAACTTTCCAGAACAGCGTCGGGCTTCAGTCTCATTTACTCCAAGGTAACCATGGGGCTTCATACCATAGCATGGAAAACTTAAAGGTTTTTTTGTTTGCCTGCCAGCCGTACTCCGGATTTCCAGCTGGGACGGGCTCCAACGACGACATCGTCACCCACTGTGGTGACCAGTAGCTCCACCCCGCTGCAGGCACGTAGTGCTGTGTACGGTAGTGGCGCCATCGCAAAGGATCCACCATCTGGCTCTGATGTCGATGCGGAACTGGAGGAGGAACTCAACCAACCACCACCGAGGAGTATCCAGAGTTTGCGGACGAAACGGAAAAGGCTGCCGAAATAGAAGGACCGGTTTTGGACGAGCTTTCACCCACCACTGACGAGTACCAGGAGGGACTGCAGTTTGGCAGCGATGCCAAGGACGCAGTCGACGACTTTGACAGCATAGACGTGGGCTATATACCGCCTGCACCCACCCCGGCTCCCTCCATGGCACCTCTGGCTGAGCTGGACGTGGACACGGTGGACGATGAGCCGTTCGAGCCCCCGCCCCTCCTCCTAGCAGCAGGGACACGGTGTTGGCCTCGGCCTCCGCCTCGGTATCGGCTACGGCCACGCCCACATCCAGCAACGAAGAAGCGCGCAAGCGGCGCAAGAAACGAAACTCGGAGGGCAAGAAACTTAGCTCGCAGGACGAAAAGGATAAGGAGTCGCGCGAAAGGGCTGGCGGGAGCAGCATCGACGCCGATCACAATGCGGTGTGTCCCTGGGAAGACGAGTTAGTATAAAGCTATCAGATTCACCCCTAATCCTGGCTAAGACCGGTTTCCACTCCCCATCCTCCACAGGAACGTCAGCACGAACGACGGCACCTTCGTGAAGACGTATGCCACACTGGGATACTTATGAATAAAGCCAAATCTGTTCAAGACGGTGGTCAACAAGTTGCTGAAAAGGAAGCCATACAAGAAGTAAGGCCTGGGTAGCTAAGTTTATTATACGGAGTATCTATTATAATACGTACAGGGTTGCCCATATTCGACGGACCCATCTGACGACGCCATAACTTTTGACAGAGATGCCAGATCGCTTAATGACATACCGCGTTTGAAGCGTCAGTCCAAGCAGATTTTTACCATGGAACAATACACGCCACGCGAGCGCTCTGAAATAGTTGAAATTTACATTCAACAGAACAAGTCAATTGTGAAAACTCAAAGTGCTTTTAAAAAATTAAAAAATGTGAAAAGTGCGCCTTCTAAGAACACCATTAAGCGTTTATACGAAAAATTTACGACTGGTGAGGCTCTTTCTAATCCGAAGAGGCCAAATAAAAGTCGACCAAGGCGATCGGACGAGAATATCGCTGCCGTACGAGCCAGTGTTGAGAGGTCCCCAAGAACATCCCAAAAACGCCGTTCTCAGCAGTTGGGCATGGCTCGGTCCACTTTACAACGGATTATTCGCGTTGATTTGCATTTCTTCCCGTACAAAATTCAATTGACGCAAAGATTGTTGCTTACGGACAAGCCTCGTCGATTGGAATGGGCCCAAAGAGTCATCGAAATGGCCGAAGATGACGATCAATTTTGGAACAAAATTATCATGTCCGATGAAGCCCATTTCACGTTGAATGGGACCGTAAATAAGCAAAATTGCCGTATTTACGCCACTGAAAATCCTGAGAAGATTCAAGAAGTGCCTCTTCACGACGAAAAAGTCACAGTTTGGTGCGGCGTTAGTTCGAAAACGGTCATTGGGCCGTTTTTCTTCCAAAATGAAAATGGCCATGCTGTTACCATCAACCAGGAGCGTTATCGCGACATGATGACCAATTTTGTGATGCCAATTATTCGTCGAAAGCGTATGAGGCAGTTTTGGTTTCAACAAGACGGCGCACACAAGTCGCATAACAATCGATTTTCTGAAGAAATTGTTTCCGGGCCGTTTGATGTCGAAAAGTGGTGATTTGGACTGGCCACCGCGTTCGCCCGATTTGACGCCGCCTGACTTCTTCTTGTGGAGATATTTGAAGTCAAAGGTTTACGTTAACAAGCCAAGGACCCTAGAAGAGCTCAAGGACAACTTTCGTGAAGAAATAGCCGCTATTCCGGCCGAAATGTTGGCGAAAACGATGGAAAATGCTGCAAAAAGGGCACAATACGCCATCAACGCCAGAGGCGGCCATTTGAAAGATATCATATTCAAAAATTGATGTAAACAAATCTACTTGGAACAAATTAAATGATTAAGATTGCCAACCGCCAAATTTTTATTTTTTTCTTTGATTTTTAAAAAAAAAACATGGGTCCGTCGAATATGGGCAACCCTGTACATGCAAACATATTATGTAAATGTAAGTATTTAAATAATTGAGTGTATATGTAAATGTTAAATGCTTCTCATGTTCTTGAAACCACCAACGAGGCACAGTGGTTTATTGCTGAAAATTTCAATATACATTAACGGAAAACGGTCTAAGAATGCAACAAAAAATATATACTTTATCTACAGACGTACATACTTATTTACAAAACGAGGTGGCTAATGTGGCTCATTAGAATTACAAAAAAAAATAGTGACAGCAGAAAGAATTTAAATGAAATGGAAAAAATGTGCTAACAGTTGTATTGACTCCTGTTAATGCCGCCTCCGATCAGTTGTAAAATCGAAACATAAACGGAGCTTAGATTTGGCGGCAGATATACTGTAATGTATACAATGTATATGATCTTTCTGCGCATTGGAAACAACTTTCCAAAGGTTATTCAAAGCTATATAGCCCTCTTCAATAAAAGCAGTAACGATGAAAGTTATAGCCACGTTCGAGAATACTAGACCCAAAGTTAAATAACAAAGTTAGTCTTAACGTAAATCTTCGCAAAATGCCTGCGATAACAATGACTTTATGACGTGAAAAGTCATAGTTATTCCAGAAAATTTGTGAAAATGTACCCTGAGAGAAAATGTATTGAGAGTAGTTGGTAAAAGGTGAGTTATTACTTGAAATGCCCGCATTATTTTCATGGTGCCTTGAGCTAGAAATACCTGCGATTAACGGTCAGTAATGGGGACAATACCTACCAATACTATTTGAAATTGTGATGTTGATCCGTTTGAGCACGTATTGCCTTTTGCCAACTGGAAAACCCATGATGATTCATTTGGTTAGTAGTATAAAGTGTTACCCCGGGTGTGGCAAGGCCTATATACTCCTAAATGTGCATCCATGCCTCGGATCACCCCACAAAAAATGTTTAAAAAAATACCCTTTAATAAATAAATGCACAAGTTGCTGCGCAAGTAGTTGCCATTTAATTTCAAATGAATTCATTTCAATATATAGTTTTCGCTTCCAAAATGAAAACAGTTTCATTTCACGCGTACATGCCAGAACTCACGAGCCCCAACTTTATGTGCAGTGAAAATGAAACACAGTTCGAAAATCGCCACTATTTAGGGGAAATTCTTAAATTTACTGATGTTGCAAAACTTTAAGTCGTCAAGCTTAGATTTTCCGTAATAATATCTGCTAAGTTGTTTCAAAAACTAAACTAACTTGCGCGAATACCTTGTGCGTTTTTAAATATATATTGTCCTATGACTACTTAGTAATTTTCTCTATTTGACTAGAAATGTATTGAGCTGCCCGCCCAAACAATCGCAGAAATCGAGCTATGCTGTATAACACTAACAACTTAAAGCCAACATCGATGGGAGTGAACCATGATGGCCCGCATCTTTAAGATCAAATTACTGTTCCATTTGAACACGTTAACCTTATAAAAACAAATGATTAGAAAATCAAATTAAGATGAAATCCTGGTTGTTCGCGACTAATACCTTTATATGAATCGAAAAAAGATAACTTATCGAAGAACTATTACAATCTAAGTATATTTCTATTTTCATTGTGCATATGAATTAGCTACTTACTGTCGAGCCCATTTTGCTGGTAAACAATCTTTATATGGGATATCTGAATTCTCTTTGTGCTTTCTATGCTAAAAACACATTTTTCAACTTTTTCAATTAACAAGCAAAACCTAAACTGTATAACTATATGTACCAAATGTTGTACCAAATGAAGAGAGTTACATAAATGCCGAAAACCTAAGCAAATCAAAGAAAATGTTGCATAGATATTACGAGTCGAGGGGTACATATAGAGAAATAGGAACAATGTGCCGAGTGTAGGGCGTGCGTACAAAATGTGTACATGAAACCACCGTTAACTTTGCTTAATGCGAGCCGAGCAATTAAAGAGTTAAAAAATAAAATAAAGAAATGAAAAAAATAAAAGATGAAATCACCGGCAGCAATAGTTCCAAAATTGTTGTCAAAATATAATAGCAGCTTTTAGAACAACACCAAAGAAGTTGTAGTAAATGCGGAGGAAAATTGTATTGTTGTTGTTTTTTATGTACATTTACTTTTTTGTATTAACGTTGTTGTAAGTCAAATATGCCAAAAAGAATAGTTTATTAAGAGTTTACAACAAAATTTGAAGGCAAGATATGAATTACTTCAACGCAAATCGCAAGAAAAAGTTCCGAATGTTTTTAGTAATCAATGGTGAATATCTTTTAATTGCTTATACTAAATGTTCCCATGCATATTGATGGGATCCTTGCCGCAACATAAATCTTAAATAAATATAGCTAGCGCGGCTGTCGACTTTACTTATCCCGGTACTCAAAAAACCGAAAATACAATAAGTTACTAAGCGGATGATATAACAAATCTTTAGGTAATGAAATATCATGTTTTTAGGTGGTATTCAAGTCTTAGCTGATTTTATATGCGTTGGAACTTGACCATTTTTTTCAAGAATTGTAGACACAATTTCGTATTATAAAATTTCCACAATCTGAAAGTACTTTCCAAAAATTTATTTTGTCTAATTTATAGAGTAAAATCTTCATGTTTTGAAAACATGCACTATTTTCTGGGACTTACTTCAGCAAAACATAAAATCTTATAAATGTTAAATATATGTTTTAAAATGTTTAAATAATATATTTTTAGAAATATATTCCTTAATTTCAGAGAATTAGTCCGAAAAGTATAATTGATTTATTTATAGAGGAATTTAAATTTAATGATTAATCTCTAGAATTTAGAAGTTGGAATCTTGAAGCCAAAAATTGTGTCCTTTGTTTAGTTGTATAATAATTGATTTTTTGAGTATCGGGTAAGCATAAAAAGAAAATACTAATAATGGTACTATGGATTGATAAAGACGCTGCCGCGCCATTTTGATAATAATAAAAATTCGATAACTAATGTATGTTAAACAAATTACATAAGTATATACTACTTCATGCGACAGCTGGGTAGCATTGCCTGGATAATTAGTGCTCATATCACTGATTAGACAACAGGAATGCGCAAAACAATATGCTTAATACATAAGATTCCAGAGCTTTTAGTAACGCCATGTAAATTCTGGGTCATGAATACAGTTGTGAAGAGTGTAAACGAGGCGTTTGTTATTATGTATTCAAGTCATTTACTATAAGTGTATACAGCTTATACTATTACAAAAGTGTTAAAAACATGAATTATTTTGAGAAAACCAAAAAAAGAATATACACAAACATGTTAGTCGGTAAAAGAAATCAAATGTAAAACAATTTAATGTAGACTGTACTAAAGAAATCAAGGATAATTGAATATCAACACTCCATCACGCAAGTAACTTAAAAGGAAATTCGCAAATTGAATAGAAGTTGATGGGAAAATTATTTGCACAGTGCAGAAAAACGTGTTATAATATTATTATACTATACAAAAAATATATATTATTAAATTATGCTGATGAAATTAAAAACCATAAAAGTATGTAAAAAAATTCAAATACAAAATGATTTAAATGAAGTACAATAAATATTCAAGTGACGAAAATGTACACGTATATCTGTTTAATGCGAAAAACTAAACTTGTTGGTGCTGTTTATTTTGAATTTTATTAACGCATCGACTTCTTCTGGGACGTTCAATTAGTCTATTTTCGATAT